TCCACTGTTATCTAATTTATAAGATAGTTCCTTTTTTTCTATAAAGCAAACGTATTTCTTTCTTAACAGAAATAGGGTTCTATTTCACAGAAAATTTCTTGGCATTTCTCATTTAGTCTCTTGCCCATTTCTTTACCTACAAATTTATTTATTTTTAGCAGCAATATAGCATTTTATGTAGAATTCACTCTGTTCTCTGTGGTCTTCGAACTCCCATTTCTGTGCTCTTTCAGTAGTGCCCTCCAGCCTGTGAGTTCCCTGTTTCTCAGGCTTCTTTCCTATAAATGGTAATAACTACCCTTCCTATTTCACAGTTGTCAGGATAAAATGAGATAATATGAAAGCATTTGGAAAAGTTACAAGTGTGATATAAGTGAAGGTGTGGTTGGGTATTGAAGATGTGAATCATAACACTTAATTTATTTATGAAATTTCTAATAATTATACAACATTAACATAGTTTTTTAGAGCCTGTGGGTTGTTTTATTTTTCTTGATGTATTTCTTAACCTCTCTCCATCCCAAACCCCATGGAGTTCACACTGTTGAAAGTATTTTTGAAGCAGAAATTGTCCAGTTGCCTTAGGTTATAATACCTGTCCTTGATATCTCTGTAGTCTACATAATCTTTTATAAAACTACTATACCACACAATTGTTAAAACCTTTTATAGTGATCCATTCTAGGTTTATTGTTCCTTTTAAATTGGACATACTTCACACTGATAGATTTGTTGTCATATATATTGTATGTATACGTATGAGTTTGTGTGTATGTATGTGTAAATGTGTAATTGACTCTAGAAAGGTTCTTTTTGCAGTCTGCCGGAGGCTTAAAATAGAAAAGAGAAATATGGAATAGCTTAGGTCTTCTCAGGCTGCTTCTCTTTTCTGGATTTTACACAAGGATGTGGTTGCAGAATGCAGCACTAGTTTTAGTCCAATTCATCTGGAGGCTCAGACACAACTTTCTGCAGTCTACCATTTTATTGTATTAGAAATTAAGACAAAAATGTAAAACAATTATTAGTTTATATAAAAATAACAAGAACAAATCCATGAGAAGAGTAGTGTTTTATATTTTTGCAGATTTCTTTAATGTCAGAATTAATAGAAGACACTTTGAGAACCCTACTTAGTCAGAACCAGTGGCAGGTAGGCCAACTGGAGTGATAGTTCGGCATCCAGAACAAGGCTGATTAGATTCATTTTTTCCTAAAGAAGAATAATCAGAATAGATTGGTAGCAGGTGCTTGGTTATCCTTCAGGCAGAATCTGTATTTGTTATCTTTGTTCATGTTGCTTTGTTAAGCACCCTTCCCAGTCACCTATGCATCATCTCTCCCTCTACCTTCATTGTAAGTGTACTTTGATAAAAGCCCTACTGGCCGTTCTAAACACTCTATGCGTTGCAGATCAGTTGTTCAACAAGTATTTGTTAAGCTCCTGCAGCGTGCATGGTACTGTGCTGGGCACTGAGGATAAAGCAGGGAACAAAATGGGCAGCTCCTCTGCTCTTGTGGACTTTAGATTTAAACTGTTAATTACACAGAATATTATTTAATTATAACTTTGATTAAATATTCTTATGGCACAGCATGTGATGTGAGCATATAATCGGGTAACTATTTTTGCTTCGGGGTCAGGGAGGGCTTTGTTGAAGTGATGCTTCTGTGTGTGCTGAAGGATGAGGAGTAATAAAAGTACCTCGTAATTTAAATTGTACTTAGGTAGGGATTTTGTTTGTGACTTAGAAAGAAATGTAGAAAAATGGAAGATTTAACCCTGAGCAACCTGAATGTTCCCAGTTAAGGGAAGTACAACTACCAGTTTGGAGATAAGTACTGATTATCTGAGCAGATCACTGTCTTCTTTTTCAGACATTGTGGATTTCAGTGGAAGTTCCATGACAACGAGAAGTTTATACTGTAGACCAGTACTTCTCAAATTTTATTTATTTATTTATTTTAAATTTTTATTTATTGCTGAGAGAGAGAGCGAGAGACAGAGGCAGAGAAAGAGAGATTTGTTGTTTCACTTATTTATGCATTCACTAGTTGCTTCTTGTATGTGCCCTGACTGGCGATTGAACCAGCAACCTTGGCGTATCAGGACGACATTCTAATAAACTGAGCTACCTGGCCAGGGCCTCAAATTTTAATGTATACACAAATGGCTTAGAGAATCTGGTTCAAATACAGGCTTAGATTAAATAGACCCGGGGTAGGCCCTGAAATACTGCTTTTCTTAAAAGCTCATACGTGATGCTGGTGCTGCTGTTCATGGACCACAGTTGGAGTAGCAAGACTATATTTACACATTATAAGACTTAAACAGGAATACCAGCTGATTAAGAGGCTGGATGGATATTCTAGAGGTGATGCCCGATAGGAAGAGATATTTGATAACAGAAGACAAAACAGTTTGGTGTAAGAAGTTATCTTGCTACCACAGAAAGCTAAAAGCACTTCACAGTTGCTATTACAGAGGACAGGAAAGCTAGGGATTGAGATAAATGTCCACTAGCACAGCCAGTGAAATATTCCACAGAGTCATTTCTGTCGTGAGGACCAAGTGAACTAAATGGTCATTAGTCTGCCGAGGGAAAAGGTCAGGTACTGAGGATTGATGGCCACCCCGTGGTAATTATGTGGACTCTAAAAATGATCTGTGACAAGCAACTAAAGATACTAGAAAGGAAGGTGCACTTGACTTGGAAAAAGAACATTTAATACTACTTTTTGTTATTCATAGATGATTAATCCATAGATGGAGGGTACTGCTAAATAGATTTGGGTTAAAAAAAAAGTTTCAAATGGCAAAGATAGAAATAAAATGGGGAAAAGGGGAATCTTATAGTTAATATCCAGTTTGAAAGAATCACCACCATTAAGCCTATTAATTGCACATGTCTCTTTTTTATTTCTCTGGCACCCAAAATAGAAACTTATAAGACTGTCAAAAGACATCACTGGTCTGCCCTTCTTTCATATGTTATTATGGGAAATATTTTTTGTTATAGTTATGCTTTTAATTTTTTTTTCAAGATGTTTTATAGTTCTTAGTAAATTTATTTGGATCAGAGAATTAAAGTAACATCAAGTTAGCATGTTATATTATGAACTGTATGTATAAAGTATTTTCTATTTAATCATATTTTTTTCGTGGTTTATTTTTCTAAGAATATGTCCATTTCGTCTAGGTTGTCCAGTTTGTTGGAGTAGAGTTGTTCATAGTATTTTTTTACTTCACCTCTTTCATTTCTGATTTTGTTTATTTGGGTCCTCTCTCTTTGTTTCTTGGTGAGCCTTGCTAGAGGTTCATCAATCTTGTTTATCCTTTCAAAGAACCAGCTCTTGGTTTTATTGATCTTTTGTATTGTTTTTTTTTTGTCTCTATGTTATTTATTTCCGCTCTGATCTTTATTATTTTCTTCCTTCTGCTTACTCCAGGCTTTTCTTGTTGCTCTGTTTGTAATTTTTTAAGTTGTAGGGTTAGATAATTTATTACCATTTTTTCTTGTTTTTTGAGGTAGGTCTGTAGAGCTATGAACTTCTCTCACAGGACTGCTTTCACTGTGTCCCACAGATTTTGGTTCTTTGTGGTTTAAAAGAAATATTTAAGTTATAATGACTTAAAATCCTGTCTAATTTTCTCACCCTTTAGAATGTCATGTTTTTGGATTTGGCAAAATTATATGACTTTCAGTACATTTAAAGAAAGGAATTAGGGGTTCTACAGTAATGAGCAGTCATTTTAGGTTACTTGTCTTTTAACTTTTGTATATTAACCTATAGAAGGACAATAGACATCATTTACTAATAAAGAGGACTAAGAGAATACCGCATCAGGCAACTATCATAAACTTTTTAAAACCCTCTAAGACTGAATTCGTAGAATTCAAGATTCGTTCTAGAGTAAAATCAACTTTGTCAATTAGATTGCTTCTTGATTTTTAGACGCAGGCCCACCTAAAAGGGGAGACTGAGAAAAGCTGAGGTATGGCATATGTTTGTAAAAAATCGACTTTCCTTCTAAACTGACTCAGTAAGAACTGGGTGTCAAGGAACATCAAAGGTATGCGAGTCTTTGTTTGAAAAGAAATGAAATATGTAAAAGGGGATCCCCTTGAAGTTACTGAGTTGAAAAAGAGTAGTCACTGTAACAAAGATGATCATTTTTGTGTTGCCTTAGGTTTAAATGATTGAGTATTTTAAAAGTGTTCAATAGGCTGCCATTGTATGGATGATGCTATAGTGGCATGGAGTGTTGCCGGTTAGACTGGGATCCTGCCATGCTTGGGAGCATTTGGGGCAGGAACAGTTGGTAGTACTCTACCTTTCCCACCTGGAGAATAGTATGACTAGAGACATGATGAGGTACAGCTACATTCCAAAGGCAGCCCCATGGAAAGAACGATTCATCAGAGAAGTAAATACATTTCCATGCTATTTCTTTTTTTATTTTTAATATATTTTTAATTGATTTTTTACAGAGAGGAAGGGAGAGAGATAGAGAGTTAGAAACATCGATGAGAGAGAAACATCGATCAGCTGCCTTCTGCACATCTCCTACTGGGGATGTGCCCGCAACCCAGGTACATGCCCTTGACCGGAATCGAACCTGGGACCTTTCAATCCACAGGCCGAGGCTCTATCCACTGAGCCAAACCGGTTTCGGCTTTCTTTTTTTTAAAATATGTTTTTATTGATTTTTTTTTAAGAGAGAGGAAGAAAGAGAGATAGAAACATTGATGAGAGAGAAACATCAATCAGCTACCTCCTGCATGTGCCCAAACCCAGGCATGAGCCCTGACTAGGAATCGAACCGGTGACCTCTTGTTTGATGGGTCAATGCTCAACCACGGAGACACACCAGCCAGGCAATTTCCATGCTGTTTCTTAAATGCCTTCAAAACATGGACGAACGGTATTATTTCTTCTTTAAAACCTAGAAACAAGAAAAAAAAGCCTTTCAGTTTTAAAGCCAAGTAGCTTGGCAATCTAGTCGCAAACTGTATTTGTGCTCCTGAATGCTTGTATGATTCAGTTGTTCCTTCTAATAAAATATGCCTTGCTTTCCCCTGGATCAGTGATGGGGTTTAATGGGTGAGAGTGAGGGCCCTGTTCTCATCTGGCTAACATGACTCTAGTGAAATGAAACTATAAGGCTGGGTTTAGGATTCAAGCCTGTGTTCTTCTGGTTTACCTTGGGTTCCTCTATTCTACAGTAAACCTCTTAGTTGAAACTTATTTACTATCAAGCCCAAAAGGTCTACCAAGAATTAGTATTAGAAATTGACCCTAGTTGCAAATTAGGGATATCATTATGGTCCTGTATTATTGAGGGTCGTATGTGTCTGTTCTTGACATCTTTCCCTGTATAGCTTCAGAGGGCACAGAAAGAGTCCTCAGTGGTGGATCCTGGTTCTGTTGTTTCCTCCAGAGGTATATACTTTTTTGTATCTTACTTTATTTCAAATTTATTTCTGAAAGTCTTGATTTTTGTTGTTACTGGTATATATTCAAACAGCTAATTTAATCATGGCATTATTGGAATATTTGTATTGTAAAACACCATGCAAGGCTCTAGGCCAGCGGTTCTCAACCTGTGGGTCGAGACCCCTTTGGCAGTCGAACGACCCTTTCACAGGGGTCGCCTAAGACCATCCTGCATATCAGATATTTCCATTACGATTCATAACAGTAGCAACATTACAGTTATGAAGTAGCAATGAAAATAATTTTATGGTTGGGTCACAACATGAGGAACTGTATTTAAAGGGCCAGAAGGTTGAGAACCACTGCTCTAGGCCAAGTCAAAGTGAATTTTATCTCCAATCGGTATATTTTTTAAAGCCTTTTTAAAAAATCCTCACCCAAAGATACATTTTATTGATTTTTAGAAAGAGAGGAAGGGGGAGGGAGTGGAGGGACACAGGGAGGTTGGGGTGGGGTGGGGTGGGGAGAGAGAGAGAGAGAGAGAGAGAGAGAGAGAGAGAGAGGTGTGTGTGTGTGTGTGTGTGTGTGTGAGAGAGAGAGAGAGAGAGAGAGAGAGAGAGAGAGAGAGAAACATCCATCGGTTGCCTTCTGTACCTGTCACGACCAGGGACTGAACCCAAAATCTACGTATGTGCCCTGATTGGGAACTGAACCTGCAGCCTTTTGGTGTATGGACTGATGCTCCAATCAACCCAGCCAGGGCTAGAAAACCTTTTTTTAAAAAATACCTAAATTTAACCTGCTCTAGAATTGGGTTAAGGACCTAGAATTGGGGGTTTATTAATGGGTAGAATCTGAAGGCTTCCATTATCTATTATACAGTTAATGAACTGGAAGAATGGACATGAAAAATATATTTTTTAAGCCCTGCCCTTACCTTGTTTTGAGCTCTGCAGTGGTTAGATATGTGTTCTGACTGGCTTATCAGAGTATGTTTCTATTTAACGTAAGTCCAGAGGGAACTGGGAGCACACATTTACAGAGCAAGGCCGGGACACTTCAGGGTTTTTTCTTTAATGTATGCTTTTTTGTGCCCTCACAGCCCTTAGTGTTGGCATCTGCTCCCTAAGTTGGTTTCTGGCTCTTTTGGGAAGTCATTTGTTTTTTAAGGATTTATTAAATAAAACCTGTTCTATTTTTATTACAGCATTTTACATGTTCAGTGACATTTGTTAATATGATAGCAAATCTGTAAAGCCACTAGAACCAAACAAAGGTCACTTCCAGGTACCCAGCTTACGAAGAATGGAGCCCCCATATCCCTAGGAAATTATCAAAGCCAAGCTCAGTTGCCATGGCAAGTCATTTGTTTTTAATTTGGTTAATGCAGATGAAAACTACATAGGGAGGCAGGAGGAGAAATGGGGGGAAAGACAGAATTCTTCAAGCATGTAGGGATGTGCATAAACAATTTCAAAGACTTCATACAGGTGTAGAGAGGTAGGAAAACAGCAAATGTGAAGCCTTCAGCAGCTTGTAAGCTGTTATTTTGAGAGTTGCGATATTTGAAGGCAGACAGCACATTTTAAAATAATGGTGAAATTTAATTTTTTCCCACCTTAAATGGAATTAAGCATAATTTGGTCATCATTTTATTTTGATAGTTGTGGGTCTCCGAATGAATACCAGAGCTTTGACATTTTAGATGGCCCACGGCAACATCTCCATTGTTTTCATGGTATATGAAGATATTTTTTGTCTCTTTTAAGCAAAACAGTGCATTTTTCTCTTTCTAGTTCTTCACAAATGACTGTGAATTAATTATTTATTTTTGTATTTTGCAGTACATTTTTATACCTGAAATTTCTGGTAGTGTGGGCACTTGTCCTCCTGGCAGATTTTGTCCTGGAGTTCAGATTTGAATACCTGTGGCCGTTTTGGCTTTTCATCAGAAGCGTCTATGATTCCTTCAGATACCAGGGACTGGTATGTTTATTAATACGTTTTTCAAGTATAATGAATTTAATAACCCTTCCAAGAAAATCTTCAATAACTGATAATGAAACCGTTTAAAGTAGATTTTATTAGTAATACTTAGAGGACTGTATTGAGCTAAATAGAGTCTATGAACTGACTCTAAGGCTGTTTTGTTAAACCCATTGATCAAGTTATAATCCCTCCTCCTCTACCATTGCAGTGAAAAGAAGGGGAGGAAGGGAGGACTCCCGGAGGGAGACAGAGTGGTGGAGGAAGAGCAGTTACCCCGTCCTACTCTAAAATGTTTCTGGAGCCCCTATCACTGTGTTGGTGATTGGCTTAGAGTTAGAGCAGTGCCTCTCAAACTTTATGGTTTCAGAACCTGTTTACATCCTTAAAAATTATTGAGGACTCCAAAGAGCTTTTATTTATGAGGGTTACATTAATCCATATTTACTATATTAGAAATTAAAACAAAAACTTAAATATTTATTAATTCACTTAAAAATAATAACAAACTTATTACCTGTTAATACAAATTACATTTTTAAATGAAAAATAAATATATTTTCCAAAACAAAAAAAATTGGAAGATCGACTACAGTTTTGCAAATTTATATAATGTCTGGCTTAATGGAAGACAGCTGGATTTTCATATTTGCTTCTAAACTCAGTCGATTGTAGTATCACATATCATGTAGCTTCTGGAAAACGCCACCATACTCTTGAGTGAATGAGTGTGGAAAAGACAGAAACATCTTAGTATTATTATGAAAACAGTTTTGACCTGGAAGACTTGCTAGAGATCCCCAGACCATGTGTTGAGAATTGCTGGTTTAGAGCAAGGGCACAGGTCTTATAGTTCTGTTGTGTTTCATAGCCACATCTTAAACTTATAACTCTTTCTACCTGGGCATGGTGCTTTGGTCAGAGCAAATCTATGCCTTGAAAAGATGGTTTTGAGCTCATGTCCCATTGGTAATAGGTAGAAGTGTGTCCCGAGGAAAGCTGTATTAGTAAAATCACTAACATCAGCATAATTCTTATTATTTAGTTTGGTTCATATGTGCTCCAGCAGCCTACCCTTTAAGAATGAGGCTCTTTAGGAATGTATTGTAAGGAGAGAGGAGATTTTTCTGTGTTAAAATGCTAGTTCTTTTAGTAACCTACCTGTGGAGTTCAAGTGAACTCACTTGAACCAACCTCAATTTGTTTTAGTCCAGTTCTTCATGATTTGAGGCCATAAACAGGATTACTCTTTAACATTAAATTAACACTACTTTTTATATGATTGATTTTAAATGTTTAAAATTTCCTGTTACAACTTGCTCTGTAGTTATTGCATGGCAGTTTCAGAGATTTTGTCCAATATATTTTTAATAATCTCTGTTTGAAAATAACAGGTTCTAAGAGGTGTTTCTTATTTTGTTTTGTTTTTCCCTTTAGGCCTTCTCAGTGTTTTTTGTTTGTGTAGCATTCACGTCAAATATCATATGTCTGCTGTTCATCCCCATACAATGGCTTTTTTTTGCTGCTAGCACATATGTATGGGTTCAGTACGTATGGCACACAGGTAAGTCTTAATGATTTCTTAGATGGACAAAAATCTTAGATTCAGACTTCTTAAATGTGATTAATCTTTAAATAAATTATTTAGAGTTCAGTTTAATGTAGACATTTTAAAGTTGTCTTTTCCTAATAGATTATAATATACCTTTAAAATATATTTTATTTTTTCATTATTAAATCAAAAGTTTAAGCCTTTATGACTTGATATCTCGATTATTACTGCTGTCATCATCATTTGTTGTTGTTGTTTTGTTAATCCTCACCTGAGGATATTTTTCCATTGATTTTTCAGAGAGAGAAGAAGGGAGAGGGAGGGACAGGAAGAGAGAGACATCGATTGGCTGCCTCCCACAGGCGCCCCAACCAGGGCTGGGGATCGAGCCCACAACCAAGGCATGTACCTTTGACTAGAATGGAACCTGGGACTCTTCAGTCTGAGGGCGACACTCTATCCACTGAGCCAAATTGGCCAGGGCTCTCATCATCATTTTTTTTTAAAGTCAAAGTGATTTCTATTTAGGTAGACTTGAAGACAGCTATGTGCCAAATAGGAAAAATGTTCTGGGAGTTTCAGCATTGAAAGGAAGTCAGAGGTCATTTAGTTGAAGCCTTATTTGGTATAGCATTCCTCACACATGGTATTTAGTCTCTGTTTGAAAACCTATAGTGACAAGGCACTTACTAGTACTACTGTTGTTTTGGGGCATCTGTAATAGAAAATTCTTTCTCATACTGAGCCAGAATTTTCTTCCTTATACTTTTGACCTAGTATGTCTTAACTGTTTTTGGACTTACTGATCTGACTTAGAGGATATAAATTTTAAATTTCATTAAAATTTCAGGGGAGCTGCAGGTCATCTCCTCAAGGCCAAATATTGGACCTCCTAGCATTAGAACCACACTGAAAAGTGTAACCTCCATCCACATTAATATTTCTTTAGAGAGTAAAGACACTGTCATATCCTCTCAAGTCTTCTTTTCTGGAGGTAAAACATCTCTGGTTTCATCAGCTTTTCCTTGTGTGTTATTTTAAGCACTTCATCACCCTAATCTCCCTAGTTCTTAGTGGGTTTTCTTTTTTTTAAGAATCCTTATCTTTTTTTTAAAATGTTTTTATTGATTTTAGAGAGAAGAAGGGAGAGGGAGAGGGATAGAAACATCAGTGATGAGAGATAATCATTAATCGGCTGCCTCCTGCACGCCCCACACTGGGAATCGAGCCCACAACTTGGGCATGTGCCCTAACAGGGATCAAACCATGACCTCCTAGGTCAGTGATGGCGAACCTTTTGAGCTCGGCGTGTCAGCATTTTGAAAACCCTAACTTAACTCTGGTGCCGTATCACATATAGAAATTTTTTGATATTTGCAACCATAGTAAAACAAAGATTTATATTTTTGATATTTATTTTATATATTTAAATGCCATTTAACAAAGAAAAATAAACCAAAAAAATGAGTTCGCGTGTCACCTCTGACACGCGTGTCATAGGTTCGCCATCACTGTCCTAGGTCATGGGTTGACACTCAACCACTGAGCCACACCAATGAGACCTTAGTAGTTCTTTTAACCAAAATTTATTGTTTCAGGTATGTTCTGACTTGAAGTTACACAGTCACCTCCCTTCTTCTTACTGCTATTTCTAATTAAGATGAAATGAGATGTTTTGACAGTTCCACTCCACTGTCAAAGACTGAACATCAGATGCATAGGGATGTGATCATTTAACTTGTCTGTGAAGCTGCCTGAAACTTGATTCTTAGGACCAGCTGCAACTTGTAGGATTTTGACCACTTAGGGAACACCAGCTAATAAAAGCTCTCTGGAGCAACATTCATCCTCTTCTCAAAGTTGCTTAGAGGGTGGTGCTGGCCCATGTAGAAGACGCAGTTCAGCTCCGTTATTTAAAGTATCCATCATGAGCATGGTTTTCTCCATCTCCATCTTCACCACTCCTTCATATGTGACTTGATTTATAAGCTAGCATGATGGTTTCTGAGTGTGCTTTCCTCTAATTAAAGAGATTTTCCTACACACCAGTTCTTCCTTGTATTTCCTTGGCTTGGGCCTGTTTCGAGTGAGTTACCATTTACAGTAGTCACTGTCTCTAGGTCTCAGTTTATTCTTTGTCATATGGAAGTGGAGTAATCTAGATAATGTTTAAGGGAGCCTTCCAGCTCAGATAATCTGTGAATCTGATGAACTATAATGATTTCCTAAATTACTTTAATAATGTCTCAGTAGTTAAGAAAAAACTACTCATATAACTATTCATAGAATCTACTGGGAACGAGTTTGGTGGGTGACCCACAGGGCAGCAATGAAGCTAATGTCATAAGTGATACTGGCCTCTCTTTAGCCCTAGGCTCAGAAATGTATGTTGGAATAGCTAAGCTGCTAAGTATGTTTTAATTAGGAATGATTGGAGCTCAAACAAACAAACAAAACAACTTTGTGTTGCTATTGGGCCTAACAAACATGAGTGCAGTTTATATAACTTGGGATTAATTTTTCCCCAGTTGTTAAAATGTAAAATTCTTTCTTAAGAATATTAGGAATGGTTGATGAAATTATATATTGCCACAAAAGAATATTATATTATAAACTTTTCCCCTTGCTGTTGAGAGGGGGGAAATAGGATACAAAATTGTATGTACAACATGACTGTTGTTCAAAAATATTTTCAACATAATTTTACTTTATTATTTGATAGGTTTAGAAATACAGATATTTTGTCCAAATTTTTCTATTTTTTTCTGTAATGTAATTTTTTAAATTATATTTATGATAACCTTAGAAATTAATATAGGGAGTAGGGAATATAACTTTTTAATGTGTTTTTATTGATTTCAGAGAGAGGAAGGGAGAGGGAGAGAGGGATAGAAACATTGATGAGAGAGAAACATCAATTGGCTGCCTCCTACATGCCCCCTACTGGGTATTGAGCTCACAATCAGGGCATGTGCCCTAACTGGGAATTGAACCAGAACCTCCTGGTGCATGGGACGCTGCTCAGCCAGCCAACCCAGCCACACTGGCCAGTTGGGAATATAAATTATTTTGAAACTAAGATGAAGATGCATTTTCCTAAAGGTTGCTGTCTATCATCCTATATTGTAAAAATACCTTTTTTTTTTTGTATAATCTATAAGAATGATTGAGTCGATTAGCTACCTTCACAGAGGTTGGAGTGTTTTCCTTCTTTATGGACTAGGCCTAAGGGAACTTAGGTTTATTCTCCTTAGAAGCAGACTTAGTATTATCTCTGTAAACTTGGACCAATTTGTATAAACTCTGGGCCTCACTTTACTCTTCAGTAAAATAAGGAAGTAGGGCTAAATGATATTCTTTCTAGTTCCAAAATTGTATGATTTATTTGTTTATTTATTTATTTAATATATTTTATTGATTTTTTACAGAGAGGAAGGGAGAGG